CTCAAAACCCAGACTTCCTCATTTTGTTACAAAGGTGCATAGTCTGAGAGAACACCACAGAGCACACTGCTCCTCTGCTGCCTGATCTACAAGCTCAGGAGATCTTCAGAGTGGGAGCGTGGGCCTTTGCCTGGGATGCACAGGTAGTCACACGGTTGAGAGTTCAACTGGAGAAAGAGAACCCAGCACTGGACAGATGTGTTTGTCCTTGTCCACACATTGCAAAATGCGTAATATATATGACTCAAAGGCTGGAAGTTGACGACACTTCCCAGGAACAGATTTAGGCACAGCAAAAACACACAGTTGCCCAGGGAAGTCAATGTCCCGCTGCACAAATGCTAAGCAGTGTGATGAAAGGGTGTCTCAGATGCAGACACTGCCCAGCAATCCAGCCACAGCTGTCAGTGGGTGCAGCCTTGTGGTCCAACTGCTTCTGACAAAAAATCTCCCTAGGAGTGTGGAGCTACACCCCCACGCACAGCAACAGCTGCCCTTAAACACCATCCCTAAAGTGGTGCAGGATCAGCAAAAGCAACTTTGGTGCAATTGATCCTAGCCTTCCTCCTCCCCAGCCAAATCTCTGGGCTGTGTGGCTCACCTTAACTCCCTCCCTTCTCTGCTCCCGTAGTGCAAGATGCCAGAGGGTGAGCAGAGCTCCTGGTTTGCATGCATCTGCTGATTGAAGGGGTTGGGAGACTGCTTGATGGTCTGAGAACTGACCTATTGGAGGAGGGAGACCAAGGGAGGTGAAAGGCTGGGGGAAAGAGAGAGAAAGGCAGATGAATGGAAACTGTCTTCCTTCATTTTCCAGAGCCCTGTTTGATTCTCCGGTGACATTTCCTGCGACTCTGATTTTATAACCCTCAGCACTTCTCCCCCTCCCTTCTCCATGAAATGCAGTCTGTTACCACCACAAAACTGAGTGCTTTCTTCCAAAGATGAGGACACAATAAAGTGAGGATTTTTTCATTCATTGTGATCAGAAGTCCCTTCTTCCACCTTTACAGCTTAGTAAGCATTCGAAAAATAAATACAGATAAGTATGGAATTTCTTTAATCTGGAAGTACAATGAAACTTTTGAAAATGGGCTACCTTATTGTCTGAATATCATGGGCACAGATATGAAGTCGAAACGTTCATTTGCTTTGTCTGTTAACACCTTTAATGTGATAGGGATAGTCATTGTGATTTTTATATAAAAGAACTTCTATGACTAAATCTAGTTTTTGCTAGAATATCCATCTATTCTTATTTGGTCCTTATTCCCACTATTTGCTTCATATCTATGCTTCAGAAAAACTTCGTCACATTTCTATTCTCTCTTAGCATATGAACAAAGTGAACTCTCATTAACTGGTACTTATAAAGCCACCATTGCCTTAGACCTTTCCCTCTGAAACCACAGAAGACCAAGACAGGCTCTGTTGATTCTCTCGCGATTACTGTTTCTAGGGATGACTGGAGGTTTTTTTAAGTTCTGGATGCTGAAGGTTAGTTGTTCCTTTCCTCAACCAATACCAAGTTACTGAGAGACATGATCAAAGCATGAACACAACCATAGGGTGTCACTTAATGCATTGTTTTTCAGTTCATGCCTTGCTCTACGCTTCCAGTACTGCATGTGAGCAGCAGTGGAGCTGGTTCAGTTTTTACTTTTGTAGAATATGTTTTTGCAATCAAAAAGTTGCTAATACAATGAGTAGACTTGCTGGGCTACCCTATTCCTTTTATACTGTATGAGTTGCAGAGAAGAAAGCAGGTCAGGTATCCACTTTGGGGTGTTGACTGGTCTCAGTGACAAATAAGGATCATTCATGTTTACAAGCAACATAAGAGAATGAACCTGGAAAATGACAGCTATCCTGGGTTAAGCTGAGACAGAGTTAACTTTCTTCATAATAGCTAGCAAGAGGCTGTGTTTTGGATTTGTGCTCAGAAGAAAGCTGATAAAAAGTGATGTTTATGCGGCTGCCAAGGTCTTTCAGCTTCTCTGGCTGTCTGCAAACAGGAGAAGCTGGGAGGGAGCACAGCTCCAGTTACTATCCCAGGATTTGATCTAATCTATTCCATAACACACACATCATGCCCAGTATATAGGTGAGGACCCTCCGGAAGATTGGCCCTTTTTGGTTCCCGTCTCTTTTGCTCTGGGTCATTTCGCTCCAGGTGGTTGCTCTCCCAAGGCCTTCCCCCCCCACCCCAGTCAGCTCTCAGTCTGGGACGCTCGGACTGTTATCTCCGTTCCATGAGTGCGGTTTCGGGATGCTCCCTGCTTTGGGATTATTAGCGAGGAACAGGCTGAGCCTTGGTCATCGGGTGGGGGGGCAGTATCACTGTGTATCACTCATTTGTATATTTGTATATAGTATTATTTTCAATATTATTGTAGTTTAGCTATTAAATTGTTCTTATCTCAACCCATGAGTCCTCTTTTCCCTTTACCCCTTTAATTCTGTCCCCTATTCTCGGGTGGGGGAGGGGAATTGCATGAGTGGGTGTGTGGTTTGGCCCCCAGCCAAGAGCAAACCCATCACAACAGCACACTTATAGCTCATCAGTCATCAATCTCACACTCTAGCAGGAATCTACAAAGCAGAAATACTCATGAGCCTAGGCATTTCTGTGTCTCTAGAAAGTAAGCCCTCTTTGTCCCCAAAGACAGTCAGCACTGCACTATCTTTGTCTTTCTCTTTTGGAAATAACTATATCTTAGTTATGTATGAATAGTTGACAGTATGAAGTACTGCTGAGATGGTTATATCACTCCATATGTCAGTAAAGAAGCAGTAGCATAGGAATGACCTTGTGATTTTGATAAAGGTGAATCCTGGAACATCCTGTAAGGGTGCTGGGCAGCAGGTGACTTTTTCCAAATATAGCAGGCAAGACATGGGAGTGCTAGAGGAGCACATAGGCAGTTCTCTCTCCTTCAAGATATTTCTAACTCCAGCAGAACAGATCTGTCTGTTTTAAGAGGAAAATGTTGACATGTCTTCCCTTTTGAAAAATGTCATATTTTCTAGTGATGTTTCAGTTTCAGCATGTGAAGAAACGAAATTTCTTTACATGGATTATAAATCTCCACGTTAAGAAAGTTACATTGTCTTATATGAAACAAAGTCTTCCAGGGTATAATAGAGCTTTCCATGTGTCGTACTGTTTACAATAACCCTCTCCTCTAGAAAATGCACAGGTGTGACCTGAGAAGGGTACAAAATGCTCAGCAGCAAGCCCCGGGGTGGCTTATTCTACTCAGATTCTTAACATACCTTCTTGCTCACAGGAGTACTTGCTATTTTTCGTCTGTTTTTGGAGTGGTTTGTGATTTGGTTTTTTTGACACTGGCAGAAATGGACTGAGAGCAAACCCAGATCACAACTTTTGATAGCGACATAGCTTATTTGAAGACTTCATATACAAGATTTGAAGTCCTCTTTTTCCACAAGCTTAAGGAATTCTTACAATTTGTATTTTCATCTCCCTGGGTTCCCCCATAGACCATCCCTGCCCTGCCCCCCTGGGGCTCCCCCGACCCTGCCCACAGCCCAGGAACCCATGTCATGTGCCCCCAGCCCCTGCCCCAGGGACACTGCAGCAGGGCCAGTCTCCAGGTCCCCACAGCCCTGCCCTGCCTGACCATGGGCCCCACCGAGCCGGGCCCACCCACATTCCAGCTTCCGCCTGTCCCCATCCGCAGGTAGGTGCCCTATGCCTGGGGCTGGGGCTGCTCCGGTGCCCTCCCGGCTGCCCTGTGCCTGGCTGGGGGTGGAACAGGCCCTGGGTGCCAGGCCCTGCCCCACTGCCCTCCATGGGGAGCCCCCGCTGCTCCCAGCCCCCCCCAGAGATGGTTTGTGTTGAGAGACGCTTTGTGCTACTCAGTATTATTTAGAGTGAAAGAGAAATACCAGTAAAATAAAATATTTTTATGCACTTGTTGGAATCCCAGGCACCAGTGGACTCTGTACAACAGAACGGAAAATTTAATCAGCTAGTTGCGTATTCACGTTGGATGAAATAATGAGTTGTGCAATTATATGAATTTTGTAAGAATCAGGAGGGAAGTGATGATCATATCTTGCAACACTTCCGATGGTACGACAGTTCCCCAAAGCACAAGTGGCAATGGAGACAGCCCTATTTATAGCCCTACAGCCAGATAAAATATGACTCTGTCCATCTTCTCTGAGCCTGAAGACTATGATAGAAAGATAAAAGAGATAAAGACGTTTTGAAATAAAAGGTAGGTCTATCTTTGTCTTTCCAACTATTTTGTTTTCTGAGGTATTCACTGAGACTCTAGGAAGTCCAGTGCTGGAGGGGTGATGTCCCAGGTAAAACCTAAAAAGCTGTCAGAGGAATACACAGAGCTAAGCTGAATTAAGTTTTTTGCAAATAAAATATCTACTGCCTGACAAGAAAGGTCCTAGCCACAGTTGTGATTTTCTTACTGGGTTTGGTGCTGAATTTGTAGAAGTTAGACACCACTTCTAGATCTACTTTTAAGCATACACTCAAGAACACCCTTCAGCATACATGAACTGATGCCCTCACCAAACATTATGTTCACCATTGGGTAACTTGAGCTGATTGATATTGCTGTGACCCTTTCTGATACTCTCTGTTTGCATCTGTTTACCCACCTGCTTGATGTCTATTCATGCTAAGCTTTGTACATAGCAGATAGTCATCAAATGTATGTATGTAACATTTATACAGGGCTCCCAACATCACCAGCTTTACAAATCATCACACAAATTGTCTTGTTACAGAAAAGGAGAACTTGTTTAGCTTTGTTACTGTTTATTTGAAAATTTCTCTGACTGCTTGAGAAGTCTAATCTTTCTTCCCACTAGAACTGAGAGATGGTCAGATGATGTAGAAGCAGGCATACGAGCAGGTCAAACTAGACAAACTAGACAAATTCAGGGCAGAGGAGTTCACACTGGCTTTGTTCATCTTGAGCAAGTTTCACTGTTCTGTCTCCAAGGAGGAAGAGATGGTTTCTCCTCTTGCACTCATCTTCATGACCCAGTGGCTGCTGCTGATCGCCCAGTTGTGTGTTGGCTGGCACTGCACAGACTGTGAGTAGAACAATTCCATAGGGCGATCCTCCAAGGTGGAGTGTAACATGCTTTATGGGTAGTTGTGCTTAAGTTGCCTTCTTTCTTAGATGTGCTAGGCAGTAACCTCTGTACCCAAAAATCTGGGAATCAGTCCTGCACTTTACTGATCCTGTTATGTGACACTTTCAGTGGCAATGCCAGACTCACTGTTAGAAATTTGATGCTGAATCAGTGGAAAATGGAACTGAGTTGGATGAGCAGCATGAATTTCACTGAGGACTGATGTTCAGTGACTGCAGGAGATTTTACTGAGACTATAATGGTAAATTTGCTATGCAAAGTTTTAACAGAGATAAATCATTACACTTTCTTCTTTTTCTTTCATATCCTTAAATAACCGAAAAAAAGTATCTCTGCTAGGAACAAGACAGGCTCTGTTTTAGAAGTCCTTTCTGGTTTTTGTTGAGACATATCTTTGTACTGAGGCATATCTGTCCTCTCTGGCCATTCTTGTGAAACTCTTGCCCTCAGAGGACTCTTGTGGAATCAGGGCTCTGATGGGACTGAAGTGTAAGATTGTCTCTTTTCCTGGGTTCAGAGGAACTTCAGTGAAAGGCATTTCGTGCTGTGCAGATGAAAATTTTTAAGTACAAAGGACAGACTGAGTCACATACATGGGTCCTTACTGACTTACCTAAAAACAAGACATAAGTATTCAGGGATATTGGAGACACAGTGATGTGATTGCTTACGGCTGATTGGTGTGACACAGAAGCCTGTGAAGACACATTATTTCTTGAGTGGCTCCTGAGGGCCAAGCAGATTCATATAATCACAGAATGGTTTGGGTTGGAAGGGAACTGTTAAAGATCATCTAGTTCAACCCCCATGCCGTGGGCAGGGACACCTTCCACTAGACCAGGTTGCTCAAAGCCTCATCCAGCCTGGCCTTGAACACCTCCAGGGATGGGGCATCCGCAGCTTCTCTGAGAAACCTGTTCCAGCATCCCACCACCCTCCTTGTAAATCTTGTCCAATCTAAATCTACCCTCTTTCAGTTTAAAAACATTGTCCCCTGTTCTGTCACTACAGACCTTGGTAAAAAGTGTCTCCATGTCTTTTTTATAAGCCCCCTTTATATACTGAAAGGCCACAATAAGGTCTCCTTAGAGCCTTCTCTTCTCCAGGCTGAACAACCCCAACTCTCTCAGCCTTTCTTAAGAGGACAGGTGCTCCAGCCCTGTGATCATTCTTGTGGCCCTCCTCTGGACCCACTCCAACAGGTCCGTGTCTTTCTTGTACTGGGGATCCCAGATCTGGACACAGTACTCCAGGTGGGGTCTTACGAGAGAGGAGTAGAGGGAGAGAATCATATCCCTCAAGTTCCTGGCCACACTTCTTTTTTATGCAGCCCAGGATGTGATTGACTTTCTGGGCTGTGAGCGCATAATGCTGAAACCAATTTTTCACCCACCAAGTGTCCTTATATCCTTCTCCACAGAGATGCTTTCAATTCATCCATCCTCCAGTCTGTATTGATATTGGGGATTGCCCTGACCCCAGTTCAGGGACTTGTCCTTGTTGAACGTCATGAGGTTTGCATGGGCCCACTCCTCAAGCCTGTCAAGGTACCTCTGGATGGCATCCCTTCCCTCTAGCAAATCAGCTGCCCCACTGAGCTTGGTGTCATCCACAAACTGATTGACTGTGCACTCAATCCCACTCTCTGTGTCATTAGTTAAGATATTAAATTGTATTTGTCCCAGTAAAGACCCTTGAGGGACACCACTTGTGCCTCGTTCCACTTGGACATTGAACCATTGACTACAGTAAGTCTTTAGATGTGCCCATCCAGCCAATTCCTTATCATCTAACAGTCCATCTGTCAAACCCATATCTCTCAATTTTAGAGGCAATAATGTCGTGGGGGACCATGCCAAAGGTCTTACAGAAATCCAGGTAGCAACATCTGTTGCTCTTCCCTTATCAACTGATGCAGTCACTCCATTGTAGAGGAGTACTAGATTACTCAGGCATGATTTGCCCTTGGTTATAGCATGTAGGCAGTCTCTAATCACCTCCCTGTCTTCCATATGCTCTAACATAGTTTCTAGTGGGATCTGTTGCATGACTTTACCAGCCATGGAGGTGAGGCTGACTGGTCAGTAGTTCCCAGGATCCTCCTTGTGACCCTTTTGAAAAACGGGTGCAATATTCACTTTTTTCCAGTCACTGGGAACTCCACCTGACTACCACGACTTTTTAAATGTGATGGAGAGAGGTTTGGCAACTACATCAGACAGTTCCCTTGGGACCTTAGGATGCATCTCGTTGGGTCCCATGGACTTATGTATGCTCAAGTTCTTCAGGTGGTCTCAAACCTGATTTTCTCTTATGATGGAAGGGACTTTTTTCCTCCAGTCCCTGTTTTGAGATTCAGGGACTTGAGAGATTGGGAAGAGTAAATGCCAGTGAACGCAGAGGCAAAAATTTGTTGAGTACCTCAGCCTTCTTCATGTCAGTTATCACTAGTTCTCCTGTCTTATTTATCAGGGGTGGTGCACTTTCTCTAATCTTCCTTTTCTGATCAACAAACCTGTAGAAGCCCTTACTATTATTTTTCACATTCCTTGCCAAATTGAGCTCCAATTCAGATACAAACTTTTGATAGCAGACAGGAGAACCAGAACTCAGATCTTGTGTAAATGGATTGCTTGAGAAGTGTCATGGCTTTATCAAAAGGCAACTTCAGCTTCTGATTTAGTCTGTTTTCAGTGCCTATGCAAAGAAGACAGCAAGCTAAGCATTTGCCATTTTGCAGCTACTATAATTTTTTAAGCAAAATAGTTTTCTCTTTCACTGGCTTCTACAAGCTGCACAGATACTTCAAAGCAAGTCATGAAGTTGTTCTCTTGGGATTACTTTTTTCCCTGCCTTAGCTAAGTTCTCTTCCTCTAGAGCCCGAAGCCATCTCCATCCATTTGACCAATAATTCTTGTGCATATGATTGGGTAGGTAATATCTAAAATGAAGTTGTTTCAGGAACAGGATTTGTAACAGGAAGGTATTGGTTTTGACCATCTATTTTACAAGAATAGAAAGGGAGCATTTTACGCTATGTTACTGTGTCAAGCAAGATGTATATCACATCTATGGTAAATATTAATGTTTCCACAGGCAGTTTCTAGAAAATTCTAACATTTAGGGACTCCACTGATACTCCATGCAGTTTTATTGCCTGTATCAGTAATCACAAATTTGATTAGATACATGTCACTCTCATTTCAAAAGTCTAAGCATAGAAATCATAGTCCTCTAAGCTCTGACAGGAGCTGCTAGAGAGGTACAGCCCCTGCCTGAAGGCAGTGTATCCTATGCATCTTATATGCTACTGTCTGAGTCTTCCATCACCGCTGTACAGACAAGGCACCTAAATGACTCGCCCAAATTAGGCACTAGTTTTTAGAAAGTTAATATTGGAGGTGAACCTCAAGCCAGCTCCTTGCCCAGGCAGTCATCTGTGGGGTATCTCCCTCTGTCTTTCAAATGAATATAAAGCACATTATAGCTATCTGTTGATTCTTATGAAAGCACATATGCTCTATTTTGAGGCAGTTCAACTGATTTGGTGGACTACGGGTAGAAGGAGGGGAGGAACTGCTGTTCATAATACTGCCATGAGATTTTCTGGAGGGAAGCATTGAACTCTTCACCTTGCACTGGTAAAGATTCATTACCCAGAACTTCTGGGAAGACAGTTCTTGAGCCTGGGAAGACATCAGTACCTACTTTACTATTGTAGTGGTCCCACTGTTACAAATCAAGCACAAGATTAAGCCCTTTCTACAGGGAGTAGCACTGTGCAAACCAATAGAAGAAAAACTAAAAAGTAAACTTTCTGCATGACATTTTTCAGGCAGGGAATATGAAGTGCATGTTTGGAAACACAGCACCTCCTCTGCACAATGGGGCAAGCTTTTCTGTTACAGTAGTGAACATGAATGGCACATACTCAAGCATAAGCAGATATGCTAGACTTTGGCCTGGGGGTGAAAGAAAAACTGAAACCTTTCGTTCCTTAATTCATTTGTTTCCTGTAAGATGAACTGGTTCTTGTTCACAGCCTTATAACAATGTTTCTGTGAAAAGAACGGAGTTTCCTACAACTAGCTCAGCAATTTTTTAGTCATCAGTTGCCACCTTGGTTGGTGCCATCTTTTAAATTGTCAATTCTCTTTTAAATGTTTGTGCTAAAATGTTATTAAAAACCAAGTGAAACAGGTTTATGGCTGTAGTTTTGAAATTCTTCTTGAGAAATCTGTGACCCCTTGAATTTTGTCACAGCGTAACTCACGGTGTAATGCCCAACATTTTTCAGTGTCCCATCCACAATAACAAAAACTCTGACAGAATGTACTCCTCTTCGCATGAGAGCAGTAATATATATGAGACTGTTAAGAGAATGAGGTACAAGATCTGTTCATTTAAGCAACGTGGAGATGGAGTATACAAAACAGCACTACTTCCTGCCTTATCAAGCTTGAAGTATTTGACAGTTCCTTAAAGGAGGATGCATAAGTCATCCTTCCTTTTAAAAGGAACGTTTAGTGTCTCCTTATTGAGTTTTGTTGGGGGTGAGTCTTAAGGAGTAAATTTATATGTTTGTGATCAGGAGGAGATTCCTCATGTTAATACCAAGTGGAAGAAGGTATCACTGCAGAGCACAAACACCTCACAAATTTACATCTACACCTCCCTGATGTATTGAAAAACTTCAGAGCTCTGCCCTTGCGTTTCTCTCTCTCTCTGGAGTATAGAGGGAAGCTCCTCATGCTCTCCGCTCATTTGACAGGGTGCTGAAGAACATCCTTCGAATAGAAATGCTACAGCAGGCATAGGCTCCCTTGAGACCTATTCTATCAGATGCACCTATAATATCTTGGGAGGATTTATCCATGACAAATTCTTCATTGAATCTGTCAGTGCAAGTATCTTCCAGTGTTGCTACCTAAAATGAAGCAAGCCATTCCTAACCTAAGCAATAACCAGCTGGAGTTACAGGTGTCTAACATATCTAAGGTTGTGCCAAGTTCATCCAGCTTGCAGCAGTCACACAATTTTGCCTATCACAGATACTCCTGTGTTTGCAGGCATGAATGGGTCAGCCATTGAAAACTTCTCCTGTGTGATTTATAACATTTCCCTCATGAACTGCACTTGGCAAGCAGGCAGAGATGCTCCAAGAGATACCCAGTATTTTCTCTACTGGCAGAACTCGAGGTAAGTCAGTCTACTCGAGTCTAGGGAACTCTGTATCCTCACTTGACACATCACACTGCCTGTGTTTAACTAGAATACCTTGCTATACACAGATATGACAATATGATGGAATGTGAGTTTTACATTAAAGATGAAAATGGCAGAAACATGGGATGTAGATTCCAAAATGTGAGGATAGAGGCTGAAAAAGCTTACTTCCTGGTCAACGGGTCTAGCAGAGACTCCCTGATCCAGTTCTATGAGGAATACATTCAACTGTATAAAATTGGTAAGTAAATAATTTCTTTCTGCTTTATTTACATTACTGCATAAGGGTAGTAGAGCATTTGTCCCTGAGAAGGGGTCAAGTACCCTGTCTCACCTTGAGTCGAAAGTAAGAGGCTGTGGCCTCTTTAAGAAAACCTATTCACCAAGAAAAAGAGCAATGAGGGAAATTAGGCAAGAAAGCTCCACAGCTGCAGACTGCCTCAGATTCGTTAGCAATCTATCCTTATTGTTTTTAGGTCTTACTCCAGCAAGGTCCATAGGAGTTAAGAGATTGTATTTCCCCCTGCTGTCCTTTCAATGTTGGTCAAAGGCCTTTTCAGAAGTCTATCTGAGCACTGATTTTTGCTTTTCATTGCCAATGGGGATGGCATACACCAACACCATACATTCGATTAAAGAAATTAATTTGTGTACAAAATACCCCAGGTTTTCATATGCTCTTTCACATGTGGTGCTCTACTTGGAAGCATCCTGTGTAATTACTTTTGCGGTGGCAAAGCCTTTTTGGCAAATTCTCACGTATTGCCTCCAAAAAATGGAGAAACAAGGCTTCATTCTATAAGGAGAAGGAACTGAGCTGTAGTATCGCTCATGGCAGATGATACGAGACTGTTCCTTGATGAAATAGCCCATCACAAGTAGGCCAGGCCTGTCTCTAAATATTGATGTAAAGTAGTAGTCTAGCTAAAAGTAAGGTTTTCACTGTTAGCCTTTTGTCACCCTTCTTTTCATGAGAGACTGTATTTCGCTGTTACAATAAAGTCCTCAGTGATAATAAAAAAATAGAGGTCCTCATATTTTTGCTAAAATCTGGGAAATCAGGGGAGATATATGAAGAAGTTGTCTAGATTCTTAAAACCAAAGTGTCTTTCTTAAATTTGTATGGCTAACTGTTTGGAAGGGGGCGGGGGAGATAAACTGCATAGTTCACAATACCAAGTAAGCAACACCTTCATGTCACAGGAGCATCACGTGAGGAGGTTTGAAGGAATAAATGACCTTTGGATTTCTTATATTAGGGTTGGCATCAGATTGTTCTTCTGTAGTAAAAAACATCCTTACAAAACGAAGACAGGACTCTACCTTATTCATCTAGGGAAGTAAATGGAGGGGGGCTGTATCTTTGTATGCTCCTGTCACGTTCTCTGGCTTAGTCCCTGATCCTGGGGACAGGATTTAAGTAACTTTGGGATTTCAATTATTTCTAACAGATTTCCTAAGAAAAATAGATATAAATGAGTGTTTTTCTTCACAGAGGTGTTGCTTGATTTTAATTATTTGAATTCTTGGTTGTATCATTTCAGAAAAGCTCATGCCCCCTTCAAATATCACTGTTAACTGTGATGAAATTAAAAGTGATTGCATAATTCAATGGCAACGACCCCAAATAAGTCATTCTAATAAAGACAAATGTTTTAAATATGAAATCGACATAAAGTATGAGGTAAGAGGAATTTCTTCACCTACATTTAACATTAATACATCTGTTTGCATGTATCAATACACATGGGTATAAAGAAAATCAATAATCTCTCTTGTACAGTGTAGACTTCCTCATACATAGCATCATATTTCTTTGTGGTTGTGCCTTTCAGGCACTCTGTTATGCCATACTGCCCCATTTTTTTTATCCCTGTTTCCCTGTGTGAGATACTGGAAATACACCTGATGACTGCAACTGTGTGGGACTAAGAGAAGAAGTCTTGTTAATCAAGACTTGAACATATCACAGCTTTGGCTGTGACAAAACTCTGAAAAGGCACTTCTTTCACTAAGGTCTTTTGGACCTGTCCTGGACTGGAGCCCTTCCAGTGGTGGCTGTATCTCTCTGAAAGGGCAGAGCTGAGCTGTAAATACCGGACAGATAAATGTGCATCCACTTAACACATATGAGTTGGTGGAGGTGAATGAAATTTCTCTATATATGAAATGTAAATAGCTTATCCAGATATCATATATAAAGCAACACACCTGTTGGTACAAAAGTTGAAGCTGTAAAATGTTAAATAAAAGGTCTCTAAACTAGGTATGAAGGGGGAAGGGGACA